AATTTTAAATTTTAAATTTTAAATTTTAAATTTTAAATTTTAAATTTTAAATTTTAAATTTTAAATTTTAAATTTTAAATTTTAAATTTTAAATTTTAAATTTTAAATTTTAAATTTTAAATTTTAAATTTTAAATTTTAAATTTTAAATTTTAAATTTTAAATTTTAAATTTTAAATTTTAAATTTCAGACTTTAAATTTTAAATTTTAAATGGAGCGGAAAGAAAATTAAAAGTCTCCTTCTATTTTAACGTAAATTGTTTTTCCCCATTGAAGGATAATATTTTCCGTGGAAAATATTTTCTTTCCACTAATGTGAGGAAAATAGAATCTAAGTTTTCCTGTAAAGTATTTTCCCCCAACCCAACACATCATAAGGTATATAATATTTTTGTGTAATGTTATAAAGATGATCAAAAACATACGGAGTATAAAACTAATACTTTCTACTCGACTCTTTCCCTAGCTCACTAAATGATACTCGTAATATTGGTGAAATTATTAGGAGCATCGAATCAACCACTTCGTTTCAATGTGTTCCCACAATAACATGCCTCGAGTCTTTATTATTGATCTAGCTTAACGACTCATTTACTTCAATTATCTCCACTTCTCTAGGTCAAAAATATTCTTTGCAATGCAACTTTTGTGCAACAAGTAGAGTCCCTTGATAGTGTCGAGCAATAAAATAGAACCTCGAGACTATTGGGCAACTCCGTTGAAGTATTCACATTAATCTTGAGATAAACATTTTGCAACCGCCATTGATTAGTAAAAAATATGATTCTTCCCACGTTAGTTTGGATTATAGAATAAAATTATTTCAAAAAAAATTATTTTTCTTTTCATTGATTAATAAAAAATAGTGATTTTGTGATTATTCTCATTGCATTAGTTATAATTCAAAAAATATGATTCTTATATCCTGCATCGCTGCATCAATTTTAATTAGCGAAATAAATATTGTTCATCTCTCTTGCATTATTATGATTTTTTCTCTCACAACGTTTAAAAAGTATCAGGATGATTCTTCTCTCCCCGATACGTCCAAAAATAAAATGTTAGATTAACAATCATATGATTCAAAAAATAAAAAAAAGAATAAGTAAAAATTCAATATAATGATTGTATTCATTAGCATTAATTAAAAAAATTAATATAAAAAAACATTAGTGATCCTATGATTTTGAATAGAAATTTGCAAAAATATTTGATAGTTTTTTTGTGTTTTTTGTTTCTATTTGAATACAAAATTACCCATTTTTTTATTTATTTGATTTAAATATTTGATCATTTTGAAAATAATATAGTCATTTGTATTATTTTAATGTAGAGATTAAAATATATGTTTTATATTTTATTTTATATCAATATTTAAATAAATAAATCAAAACTAAGTTCATTTAAGCATGTCATAAAAAATATGACCTTTTAGAGGTCATGAAAGTAATTGTTTTTGAGGAAGGAAATCTCATTTATTAATTGATAGTTTTATTATAAGTATTGTGAACAAGTATAAAATTAGAAAAAATGTATTCTAATGAAAGCAATTATCTCTTTTCCAAAATTAAATTTACTAAATAATGTTAATATCATAAAGAATGTTAGTGTAAACATAGTATATCTTGGTAACATTTTTTATATCAATTGTTAAGTATAATTTAACTAAAAATATCATACAATAATAGATAACTATAAATGTTATATTCTTCCATTTAAAACAAAAATAATATCCGGAATATAAACCATTGAAAGTTCGTGGGGGCGCAGCGAAAATCACCAATTAAGAACTATGCAAACAAAACAATCAACTATGTTGTAGAGAATATGTTGCAGCACTGTCACAGTAACAGATGACGGACAGGGTGCTATAACACTTCTCTGTCACAAGAACACACAGACAAAAGCAGATGATGCAGAGGGTGTTACAGCGCCTACTGGACAGAATGTTGTAACTATAAAAATGCGTAAAAAATGACACCAGATATGTTTGCGCAGTTCGGAGAAACTCTCATAATATGCGGGGCCCACGTCCGTGTAATAGCCCTCCACTAAATCACTAGATGCAAGTTACACCGGTACATAACAACATGATGAGACACTCTTCTCCGAATTGTTATGACAAAACTTCTAATCTAAGATTTCTAACCCGAACTCTGTTCAGATCCGCTTCGGCTATCACATCTCCACCGAGATCACGAAGACAAACGTGTTGGCAGCCCTCTCATTCAGCTCTAATTCATCTCTTGGACGTCATGATCTGTTTGGCGTTGAAGATCTCCTCCTTCATGTAGATCGTAACCTTCTTCACGCATGGGAAGCTCCGGGACGCGACGGGAACGCTCTACATCAGCGTATATTCTGTATTTTCCCTCTCAATCGCTCCACATATTTCCCAAGGACCTGCTGCGTTTTTATAGGCCTCTCTTAACACAATCCTAGTAGGAATAGGATACTAGAAGTTGGCTT